CATTAATTCAGAAGTGGTGTGGACTTAACCCGATATCACATAGCGCACCAAGAAGAACTCAGTAAACAACAAACATTTGTAAAATATGTAAGATTTGATGTTTTCATGGCGGTGACCATGAAGAATTCCATCTTCTGGGATGTGGCGCCGTGTAAATATTGTGTTAACCGACGTTTCGGATTAACATATCGCCTCTATCTTCAGGTTATAAAAATCCGCGAGCTTGGAACCAGCGTGAGCAGGTGGCTGCAGACTTCCCTGAAGATGGAGACGATACATTCCTCCGAAACTTCGGTTAACACTATCTACAAGGCGCCACATCCCAGATGATGGCATTCTTCATTTGTAAAGTAGTCGGCCTTTACCGGGACTCGACCGGTCTGACACGAAATTTTGGAGCAGTGGCAAACATCCCGTCTGCTGTAGCAGCTTCTCTCGTTTTTTATTTCTTTTCATATTTCTCAGACTGGTAACATGCTTACCGACGTCATGCAACAGGTCACCGGGACCTTAATTCTGCCGCTGAGCTCTGAGTAATGTTAATAACACCAGAACCAACAACTTAAATGCACTCCAAGTATAGAAAGTTGATAAATTTGACTGAGAGAGAAAGAAATGGGATAATGGAAGGAGCGAGAGAGATCAGCATCGTGCACGGAACTGCCAGGCAGGAATCACAGGAATGCATCAATGCCAGAAGCAGCAAAATCTTTCGCTCATTCTCAAGCGAAATGACAGGACAGCGGGAGAGTTATAACTGCCGTGATGGGGCTCACAAACACCTCAACCTCGCCACCCACCTGCTTCAGCTGCGGCTTGTGACTTCGAAACGTCTGTTGCGTCTTTCAGCGTTCGAACCATTTTGTCTGACAGTAACAGAGACTTGCGATAAAATGGGCTGGACATATGGCACGCGTGAGAGGGATGAGAATGGCTTTCAGAATTCTGAATGACTTCTCTCTTCTGGGATATTACACCGTATAGTCCGTTGAAAGCCAACCGACCTGTAAGTAGGTGACAAGCAGGAGCCATCTGCTTTCAGACTGGTTTCTTCTTTGTCCTATTCTTCGACATTGGAGATGGAAACGAAATGTTCTTCCGAAACTAACGTTAGTTAAATAAAGGTGAAGTTGTCCCTGTGCTTAACTAATTAAGCACTATGCTATGAAGGGGTATGAGCAAGTGGGTGTATAGATCCACATTTTCATGACCTCGGCACTAACTGCAGGTGAATGATTAGATTCACGCCCCAACCGCTTTATCCCCAAGGAAAACCCCCGGTAGCCATTAGAAAGGAGGTTGGGTGGACACCAGAGCCGGTCTGGACGACGTGGAGAAAATTATTGACCCTACCGAGGCTTGAAATCCGACCCCTCTGTCCATCCCATAGCCAGTCGCTATACCGACTACCTTATCCGGGCTCCATTTGGTTAGTTAGAAGTAAGCATATTTATTTATTATTTTGACGTGGACGGAATCTCTACAGTAAGACTCAGCGATTCATCGAATACATGAATTAGATGTACATTTCCGAACAGTCCGTTCTGTCAGTTATGTTTACTTCTGAATTTCTTTCTGTCTTGTGGAAGAAGTAACACGCGCTCTCATCTTCCCATCGAGGGTTTGACGGATTTAGACCTCCCCACAAATCCATGTTACGTATAAAATAAAATTGGAGTTAGAGTTAGGTCAGTGGGGTCGAAGTGGCCCAAGAGATGCTAAACGGTGGGTAGAAGGGTATCCATCAATCATATCGAATTCTGAAAAGGGGGAAAAGCTGGAGAAAGCAGAAAGGATGCGGATAATACAATGCCCGGCTGAATCATTTCACCTGCTGCAGATTGTGGAGGCGTCATGAATTATTTAAAAGGAGCGTCACGACCAATCCCCTCCACAGGTATCTCTACTGTGACGTACTGATGGGGCTTGCGTGATTATATGATCCCGAGAACAATGCCAGCGGTAGCGTAGATACTGGTAGGGTCTCCCAGGCCGGAGAGGTCAAAGGTGATAATCCAGCCGAAAAGAGGCACCCTGGTCTTCGACCCGTAAAGGTAAAGTTGTCCTTGTGCTTAACTAATGAAACACTACGCCATGAAGGCATATGGGGGAGTGGATGTATAAATCCACATTTTCTTTACCACGACACTAGTTGGAGGTGAGTGGTCAGCTTCGCGTCCCTGCCACTTTACCCCGGGGAGAGAGCCCCCGGTAACCATTGGATAGGAGGCTGGGTGGCCCCAGAACCGGTCTGGACCACGCCAAGAACAGAAAATTCTTCTACCGGGACTCGAACTCCGACCCTTCCGTCGTCCAGCTCATAACCAGTTGCTATAGCAATTACGCTATTACGCTCTCCCAGCCCCTGGTTCTCCACCCATAAAAAGCATTAATTGTTGAGAAGCTTTTAACGATTGCAGCCGGAAGGAAGGGACCAATGGCCGACAATCATAAAAGAGACCAAGGTTCATCATGGACTGTAGCATCCGCAGGAGAAAAAGTAAAGACTAAGTGGGAGATTGTTGATGACTCTGTACCAACTTTGAAGGTATATTAACACTGGTGATATTGGCAGTACTGACGTAGGTGAATCTCCTGGACAGTCATACTCTTGAACGCGACAGATACATTTCAAATAACTGTTCTTGTTTACTTTTCTGGTCTGTTTGTATTGTGTTTGCTGTAGAACAGACTTTCTGAAAATGTGTCATTAATGTTAAACAAAAATGAAGTGGTAGGCCAATAAATTCAGAAAATACTGAACTCATTAACTACATGCTGGAGAATTGAGGTGTGTAAGGAAGACTATCATTTCTACATTTTTTCTTAGCGTAGTTACATTACAACAAGGGCCGCGCCATAGCTCAAGCGGTTAGTCGCTGGCTTCCCACCGCGGCGGCCCGGGTTCGATCCCGGGGATGGTCAAGTGGGATTTTTGGTGGATAAAGTGTCTCTGGGGCAGGTTTTCTGTGAGTACTTCGGTTTCCCCTGCCAATCTTCATTCCACCAATTGCTCCACAATCACACTCACCTATCATCTGGGGCTGGTACAATAGGCCAGAAGTGGACGCAGTACGAGGGACTTAGTCCCACCCCACTAGCAATAAAAAAATACATTACAGCAAGATGGTTAAAGTAGACGCTTACTAAAATGGGGGAAGGAAGAAAGCACACATAAACTTGCTTTCGAATTCAAACGAGCTGTGCCCTGAATCAGATTGTTAGGTGATTTTCTCATCTTTGTGGAACGTGTATTAAAATTTCCGTCGGACGCACCTCCCGATATACATGAAACAACTCTAAAACTATTGGACGGATATCCATGAAATTTGGATATCACGAAGATTAACTGAATTTTATGGACCGATTCCAGTTTTCTTATAATCAGACAAGTGTAACTTACAATACGAATACCTACACTTGCACTTTGAGGTACATTCGATAAATACGAGTACATATTAGAGCGGAAAAGGTTGGAAATAAAAGTTGCAGAACAAACTGAAACAGGCGTTTTGTGTTTTCTTTAAACCACGTGGTTTCGAAATAGTTAACGAAGATGGAGGGAACATGACAGATTGTTACTCTGTGTGTAAGCTTACATTTACTTATTTGTTAGATGATCTTGGTGCCGTGACTGTGACAACTTGTATTTTGAGAGATTTCACCGACTTTTCGGAGTAACTCTGCTTGCTGGGATAAATATTTCTCTCTGAAGGTGGAAGGTGTTCGTTCCTCCACAATATCATTACATTTCTACTAGGTTCAGAGACATCATATTCTTACTCATTTGTTTTCTCACTTGTTATGTAAACATACGTTTTTAATTTGAAAAGGGCATATTTTTACATGCCATTTCGTAACCATGCAGGTCGTTGTTTATTCTCTACAGAACGGACAATACTTTGTAAGATGAGGCACCGACTAAATAATTAACATTAATATTACTACATCTACATCACAAGCCTCCAAAACAGTTTATTATATACACACAAAATATAGAATACTCCGATTTTTCCGTGGGAACACAACAAAATCACAAAAACCAACGACTGACTCGATGATGTAAAACATCAATCGAAGAATTTTATGCTTGTTTTATACTAAACTTTTGTTTTACATGGTCTAATTTATTGCATTTTTACGCCAAGTATTTTAATATAATTAATATTATTGTATCCAATTTTACTAGTAATGCAGTTAAGTGGTGTATATATATTAGCCATGTATTTACCTGATGATGGCTTCTAATAGCCGAAACATTTAGCAGAACCAAACTAGGCACTGAGCTTAATATAGTTCTGTTGTGACGGTTTTAATAAAGAAATTGTAATCATAAAACCTCCTGAGAATGAACTACAGGTCGACGTATATCTTAGTGAGAGTAACAATAAAGTTCATATTGCCATTTTATTAATCTTATCAATTGTATATACAATCGTGGTAGAGCCAGAAACGTTCAGTAAGTTTGTGATACGTGAACAATAAATAATTGCTTCTTTCTAAAGATGTTAAGTAGATCTTATTTTCTTTCATTTTTTGTAGTCAAATACAAAATAAGTAATAATTTTAATAATTTAAAAAAGTACGTTAAAACGTAATAGCGCAGTCGGTATAGCGACTGGCTACGATCGAGGGGTCGAAGTTCCGAGTCCCGATAGGGTCAAGAACTTTCTCTTCTCCACTTCATCCATACCGGCTCTGGGGACCACCCGGCCTCCTATCCAATGGGTACCGCGGTCTCGTTCCCTAGGAGTAAAGCGCCAGGAGCGTGAAGCTAACCACTCGCCTCTAGCTAGTGCCGAATTCAAGAAAATGTGAATCTGTATACCCACTCGTCCATACGCCTTCATGGCCTAGTGCTTAGTTAATTAAGCACAGGGACAACTTCACTTCTTCTGTGTTACAAACGTGTGTGATTTGTTTGTTATGAGATTGATTTGAATGGGTGTTCCCGTGTAGTTGCCTGGATTCTACATGTTGTTGTATTCTCAATATTGCAGACACATGGTGACGCCGAACTTTGTGCGTGTGTAACAACTGTGATGTGATCTTGTGGCAGCCATTGTGATTCGCATGTGGACTTGAAGTTATTTGCTGTGGACGATTTACATCCCTCACCATCGGTAAGTACTGAAAGAAAGTCCTTTTTATATTGCGTTTATGGATGATAATTCCTATACTGAATATCCTGTCGTGAGCATAAACTATTGATTTGGAATTTTGGTATGAGAAATAATATATTTGTACGTGGTAATATTATCTTAATTTATGCACCCTTTTCTAGGCTCATATTATTTTTACTGTTTGCCTTGCCTTTTCTCATCCAGAATGGTCTAAGAGAAGGAGATGGTTTATCGCCACTCTTTTCAACTTTGCCTTAGAATATGCAATTAGGAAGGTCCAGGGAAACTAGGTGAGACTGAAATTAAATGGGACACATCAGCTGTTGGTCTATGCCGATGATGTGACTGTACTTGGTGATAATGTAGATACCATAAAGAAAAACACACAGACTTTAATTGACCCAAGTAAAGAGGTTGGTCTAGAAGTAAACACAGAGAAAACTAAGTATATGTTGCTGTCTCGTCACCAAAATGCATGGCAAAATCATGACACAAAGATAGGAAACAGATGTTTTGAAAATGTGACACAGTTCGGATATTTGGGAACAACGATAACAGATCGAAACCTGATTCAGGAGGAAATTAAGAAGAGACTGAACTCGGGTAATGCTTGCTAGCATTCAGTCCAGAACCTTTTGTCTTCTCGTCTGCTGTCCAAAAACATAAACATTGTATTATACAGAACTATAATTCTGCCTGTGGTTCTGTATCGGTGTGAAACTAGGTCTCTGACATTAAGGGAGGAACATAGACTAAGGGTGTTTGAGAACAGGGTGTTGAGAATATTTGGACCGAAGAGAGATGAAGTGACAGGAGGTGGGGGAAACCTGCATAATGAGGAGCTTCATAACTTGTACTCTTCTCCGTGTATAATTAGAATGATCAAGTCAAGATTGATGAGGTTGACAGGTCATATAGCACGAATGAGGGCGAAGAGAAATGCATATAGTATATTGGTGGGAAAGTCAGAAGGAAAGAGACCACTGGGAAGACCAAGACGTAGGCGAGTGAACAACATAAAATGGATCTTAGATCGATAGGATAGGATGGTATGGATTGGATTGATCTGGCTCATGATAGGGATCAGTGGGGGACTATTTTGAACACAGTAATGACAATTTCGGTTCCATAAAAAGTTGGGAAGTTGTTGAGTAGCTGCACAATTGGCATCTTCTCAAGAAGGGCTCAGCTCCATCAGTGAGTTTGCCTTGACTTAATGAATTATGTAATGGTGTCATCAGTGAATAATTATAATTGAATTGTTTATTAATTTTTTAAAATGACGTCGTCAGGGAATAATTCTTATTAATTTTTTAAAATGACGTCATCAAGTAACAATTCTCAGTTCATAACTTTTGGATCCAACAGGACTGAAATGAGCATAATTATAGTAGTTCTCATTCGATGATTTGTCTCCTTCGGCCGTGCAATATTAGATGCTTTCTGTTCTGCCGAAAGAAGGCGCCTACCCCCGCAGAGAATTACTGCAGAATGTTACAGAGTAAGGCAACTGTTTCACTTTATTTGTAGCAGCTATATCTGTACGGATCTTCGAGATACAGGATGAGATGGTGTGGATTGGATTGATCTGGCTCAAGATAGGTATCAGTGGGGAGCTCTTGTGAACACCGCAGTGAACCTCCGTGTTCCTTAAAATGCTGGGAAATTTTTGAGTAGCTGCAGATTTGGCTTCTCAAGAAGGGCTCAGGCCCATAAGTAAGTAAGCAAGCTATATCTGTAGGCCATATTCTGTATATTGCATTCGAATAAATATGAGGTTGCAAGTAATTATATTTATTTCGGAATTTCTGAAACATTTCCAGACAATCAGTGGTCAAGTTGATGAGAGACATAATTGTAGAAACGGATAACTTGTTTTTATTCGCTTAGTGAGGGGTGGAATCCAACTGAGTCCACACGGCACGACGGCCACTAATTGGCCTATTGTAGCCTCCCCCGGGTGATTATGATGGAGAATTTGTTGGAAAGAAGATTGGCAGGGGAAACCGAAGTACTCGGAGAAAACCCGCCCCAGCCCACAAAAATCACTTGACCAGACCCGGGATCGAACCCGGGCCGCCGCTGTGGAAAGCCAGCGACCGACCGCTTGAGCTCTGGCGCGGCCTGGCGGACAATTAAGATGTCATGCATCTCTTGGACAGTTGGGGAAGTCTTAACATAAACTACAGTCATTACCGAACGAAACGTTTCGATGAAAATGTAACCTGTCTTATATATGTCCAAATGTTTGACTCTAGAAACACAAATGTTACCGGGGAAAGACATGAGTTTGCATTATTATTATTTAAAGTTAACCACATAACGACAAAAATGGTTTGGTTGCAATATTTGCTAAAGGAATACAAGAGTTAAAATTTCCCAAATATGTCGCGTGCAAAACCGAGTTGGCATAAGAAGCGTGCTGTGGCGTGCTCCTCTCCAGGGTTGTCCAGCTTTTGCGAATGTTGGTGTTCCTGAGTGGTGCCTCCCGCAAAATATCCAAAGCGTTTTTGAGCAGTCATTATTCGTGCTTCATGGAGAATATCCATGGTTGATCTCAGTAAAATTCATGTTCATATTTTTTCAGTTATCATATCTGATTTCGTAACCCACACAACTCGATTTTTAACACTTTAGAACATTTAAAAAATACAACCTCATGATTTCTTCGATAGTTGGAATTCTGCCATCCCGTAGCAGGACCAGAACTTGTGTACGTTTGTGCAACCCTTCTGTAGATACGTGTAAGCAACCTCCTCTTAGGATTCGTGACGCAGGCATGGCGTGCGCGCTTTTGGAGAAGTTGACTGTGTGAGTCCTCGAGTTCATTTTGAAGTGATTGCCGTTGAAGTGCACGCGTACTGGGCACAACGGAAATTAAACATGTAGCAACGTTTCGAGTGATCAATAAATTTGAAGGGTTACGTTTTATTTTGCATTTCATCCTTGTGGACAGAATCGCTACATTGATATGAAATATCTCTTGCTATTTTTGTTGTGTTCCTACAAGTTATAACAGAATTTAGAATTTCCAGCTGGATAACTCATTTGGTAAAGGAACTGGACAAAGGCCGCGCCATAGCTCAAGCGGTTAGTCGTTGGCTTCCCACCGCGGCGGCCCGGGTTCGATCCCGGGTCTGGTCAAGTGAGAATTGTGGTGGACAAAATTGGCGCTGGGGCAGGTTTTCTCCGAGTACTTCGGTTTCTCCTCCATCATAATAATCAGCCGGGGCAGGTACAATAGGCTACTCAGAGGCCCACGTGCCGAGTGGACCCAGCTGGACTCCATCCCTCACTATGCGATAAAAAAAAACGGCCTGGAAAACCCAGGAGTCGGGGTTCGATTCCAGGAATGGACAAGTTTTTTTATCTTTTACACAGAGTCCACACCTGCTCTTGTGCCCTCCTAATTTCCTGCACAAGGAGGGTTAAGTGGTCGGGGGGTGAAGCTGAACGAACACTCACTTCTGTTTAATATCGAGGTTAAAAATGCGCTGAATTGTACGTCCACCATTCCACATGTCCACATTCCCGCCTCATCGCTTGAAGTCTGACGTTCGTAACAGGCTAACGGGTATGTGCAGTACAGTATTGTTTGTTTACATTGTGGCCTTCTGAAATGTCGTCGGGGTCTGGTAGATGACTACCAACACGAAAATGGAGGTCACTTCGCAACGTTGGTAGCCACTACTAGTCCGCGCGTTGTCACAATCCAGAAAACCATAGTGTCAATCTTAAGTGTAAGATTTGAGGTTTTCACAGCGGTGACTATGAAGAATGCCGTCTTCTGGGATGTGTCGCCGTGTAGATCTTGTGTAAACCGAAGTTTCGGAAGAACGTATCGCCTCCATCTTCAGGGTATAAAATATACGCCAGCGAGGAACCAGCGTGAGCAGGTGACTGCGGATATTTTATACCCTGAAGATGGAGGCGCTACGTTCATCCGAAACTTCGGTTTACAGAATATCTACACAGCGCCACATCCCAGAAAACGGTATTCTTCTGAATCGTGTTTTGAAAGTCTCTAGTTTCCTACAGTATTGTAATCCTGTATTTGGGAGCACTCTCAACTGTTAACGTTATACGTAAGTAGAAATAGCAACACGTAATGAAGATCCGGATCTGGTAATGTGGGATTTGTGGTGGACGAAGTGGCGCTCTAGCACTTTTTACCCGAGTACTTCGGTTTCCCCTGACAATCTACATTCCACCATTTGCTCCATAATCACCATTATCTATAGTCCGAGGCTGGTAAAGTAAAAAAAAAAGTAAAGCTATCTTTGTAACAGGCCGTGGAGGCCCATAGGGTTGTGAGATGTTGAGGTTTCCACATTTTCTAGAGAGTTGGCTCACAGATGGCGGTAAGAATGTCAGCCTTACGCACCGGTCGCCCTTTACCCCCAAGAATATTCCTGGTACTCATTTCTCTTAGAGGCTGAGTCGACCCCAGGGCCATAATGCGGCTGGAAGGATTAGGTTAATTGAAAAAAAAATCCAGTGACCTCATTGGGACTTGAACCCGCGACCTTCCGGCTTGTAGCATAGTGCCTCAACCAACTACGCTACCGCGTGCATCCGAGGCTGTTATAATTGTAAAGTAATGGCCGCAGTCCCAAGTTGACCAGTCTCACCTCACTAATAGAATAGATTAATAATAGAAAAAAACAGTGGAGATGGGAGCTTATTTGAAGGAACTAATTTGCAGGGACAGATATGGCAGCCGGGCTCATGGGTGATTCGAACCCGATGACTGTGAATAAGAAACGGGAATAGTGTGTACTGCACAGTGACGTTATTAGCATGTCTGCTAGGTGAATATAATATTAAGTATATTTAAGACTAACAACGTTTACATGCAAAATGCTGTCTGTAAATTCAGGCTTAGAAAGCAATTGATCACATATTCTTACGCCTAATTCTTACTTAGTCATGGAGCTGAGCCCTTCTTGAGGAGCCGCCAATTCTGCAACTACTCAAGAATTTCCCAGCATTTTAAGGAA